TTGCACGCTACTGTCGCAATCGTTGGTCATCCAATTCATCTTGGAACACTGGGACATGGCGTCGCTTTGAAGGCAGTTCTCGCCGCTTTTCTACTCCGTACGATCGACAGCCTGCTCCTACTAACGTTCAGGGCCGAAGGTTCAGCCGGTCACCATCACCCCAAGGCCGCCGATCTCTCTCGCCGATGATTTATCGATCCAGATACCCTGCACGATCTGGGCCCTCAACCTCGGGAAACTAGACCATGCAGCTCCCGGAGGTGACGCTGCATTAACGACCCATTCTGCAAATCCTCTGTTGACGATTCCTACACGCCGCAATATTTTGGACCTTTTGGTGGATGACGTTACCGTTACAGCCCTCATAGACACTGGTGCACAAATGTCAGTCATTAGCGCTGCTCTCTGTATTAAACTGCGAAAAGTGATCACGCCTCCTATTAAGTGTGCAGTAATGCTTGCCGATGAGAGCACATCTGCCGTTCTCGGCATGTGTACCTCTCGCGTGTGTATTTCTGGGCGCCAGACCGTCGTATTGTTTACCGTGCTTGAGCAGTGCCCACATGACGTGATTCTTGGCCTCGACTTTCTCTCTGCGCACTCCGCCCTCATTGACTGCTCGACGGGTCTTCTTCAGTTGGAACTGCCTTTTGACGCCGCTGTTGCCCATGACGCTCAAAGTCGCCTTTGTGCCACCGAGTTCCTGCATCTTCCGCCGCAAGCCGCGACTTACGTGCAGCTCGTGTGTGATCCACCTGTGCGCGATGGTGAATATGTCGTTTCACCTATTACCGAGGTTGTGCTAAAGCACTCCATTGCTGTCCCGCACACCGTGGTGAGAGTATGCCACAATCAGACCTATCTGTCTCTTTTGAACTTTGGTTTCTCCACGCATGTGCTGCCTGCTGGTATTAAACTAGGCGTCATGTCGTCGTTGCAAGAGAGTATATTTCTGAACTGTCGGCTCAGCAACCTACTCCGCACGTCAACTTGCTCACTGCGCCCAACCTGCCAAGCATTGACATTGCCGAATTGATAGCGCAAGATCTTTCACCCTCCGAAGCACAAGACCACCACCGTCTGTTGACATCCTATGCGGACATATTCGATCTTGACAACCGCCCTTTAGGCCAGACATCAGTTGTGACTCATCACATCAACACCGGCGATGCCAACCCAATTCATCGCCGCCCTTACCGCGTCTCCGCTGCCGAACGCTCTGTCATCCTGAAAGAGGTCGAGAAAATGCTCGCCAAAGGCGTCGTCGAACACTCATCTAGTCCGTGGGCATCCCCGGTCGTGCTTGTCAAGAAGAAGGACAACAAATGGTGGTTTTGCGTCGACTATAGAAATCTCAACAAGGTATCTAAGAAGGACGTTTACCCTTTACCAAGAATAGACGACGCCCTTGACTGCCTTCATGGCGCAAAGTTTTTCTCGTCCATTGACCTTTGATCTGGTTTTTGGCATATCGCTTTTGACCCACGGGACCGAGAAAAAACAGCATTTGTAACCCCCTATGGGTTACTCCACTTTAAAGTAATGCCGTTTGGGCTTTGTAATGCGCCGGCCACCTTTGAGTGCATGATGGACTCCCTTCTGCGCGGCTTCAAATGGTCCACTTGCTTATGCTACTTGGATGATATAATTGTTTTTTCACCGACGTTCGCAAGCCATCTAGAGCGACTGTCCAGTATTCTCCAAGTATTTCGCAACGCTGGTCTCCGGCTGAACTCCTCCAAATGCCGTCTCGGCCGTCGCGAAATAACTGTACTTGGTCACCTCGTTAAGGCCTCTGGGGTACAGCCCGATCCAGACAAAATTCGCGCATTGACTTAATTTCCCGTGCCCTCTTCTCATAATGATGTCCGGAGCTTCCTTGGTTTGTGCTCCTATTTGCGCCGCTTCATCCGAAATTTCGCCGATATTGCGCGGCCTCTCACCGAGCTTCTTAAAAAAGACGTCCCATATACTTGGAATTCGCCTCAGAGTGCTGCATTTTCGGCGCTCATTGCAGCCCTCACGACTACGCCAATATTAGCCCACTTCGATCAGACTGCCCCGACAGAAGTTCGTACGGACGCGAGTGGCCTCGGAATTGGTGCTGTTATAGCTCAGCGTCAGCATGAACGTGACTGTGTCATCGCCTACGCCAGCCGCCTTTTATCCCCTGCCGAGAGGAACTATTCCATCACTGAAAGAGAGTGTCTCGCTCTTGTTTGAGCTGTCGCTAAATTTCGCCCGTACCTCTTCGGCCGCAGTTTTACTGTTGTAACTGATCATCATGCACTTTTCTGGCTTTCCTCGCTAAAGGATCCCACAGGACGTCTCGGTCGTTGGTCTCTACGCCTCCAAGAATACACCTTCTCGGTCGTGTATAAATCTGGTCACCTCCATCAAGACGCCGATTGCCTGTCTCGGTATCCTGTGGATCCACCAGACGCCACCGAGCTACGGAGGCTTGCGTCTTATCAATATCAGACTTTCTTGATATCGCTTCTGAGCAACGCCGCGACGCGGATTTACTTCCCATTATAGAATGCCTGAGTTCCGCTACTCCACCCACTTCTCTGAACTTGTATTTCCTTCATGAAGGAGTTCTCTACCGCCACAACATGCGCCCTAATGGTCCTGACCGCCTTCTCGTCGTGCCTTCCCATTTGCATGTAGATGTTCTCGGACAGCTTCACGATGAACCTGCCGCTGGTCACCTTGGAGTCACCCGCACTTATGATCGCGTCCGGCGCCGTTTTTTCTAGCCACGCCTGTATCGCTCTGTGCAAAAGTATGTCGCCAGCTGCGACCTTTGTCAACGTCGAAAACGACCAACATCGCTTCCAGCTGGCCTTCTTAACCCTATTGAGATCCCTGCTGAACCATTCTACCGCGTAGGACTCGACCTTCTCGGGTCATTTCCCACTTCTGCATACGGGAACAAATGGGTTGCCGTGGCGACCGACTACGCGACACGTTACGCGATCACCCGCGCTCTTCCAACCAGCTGCGCTACCGATGTCGCCGACTTTCTGCTGCATGACATCATATTGCATCACGGCGCTCCTCGACAGCTCGTTACTGACCAAGGCCGATACTTTTTTTCTCGCGTCGTCCAGGATATCGTACGTTCCTGTTCCACGAACCACAAGTTCACAACGGCATACCATCCACAAACTAATGGACTTACAGAGCGCCTGAATCGCACTATCATGGACATGTTGTCAATGTATGTTTCTCCAGACCACCGTGACTGGGACGCAACGTTATCCTACGTCACCTTCGCTTACAACTCCTCCAGACATGACACCGCAGGCTATTCCCCGTTCAACCTTCTTTATGGACGGGAACCCTCTCTGCCTCTTGATACACTCCTTCCCGCTGGTTCAAGCTCCCCTGTCACATACGTCCGCGATGCCATAGAGCGAGCCGACGCAGCACGACAGATTGCCCGAGAACGACTCATGCTTTCTCAAACCTCTCAGAAAGATCGATACGATCGTCATCACCGCGAAGTTTCGTATGCACCAGGCTCTCTCGTACTCTTGTGGACCCCATGTCGTCACATCGGCCTCTCAGAAAAACTTTTATTTCGCTATGACGGACCATACAAAGTCCTTCGCAAGATCACCAAACTCACCTACGAGATACAGCGAGTCGTCGACGAAGCGCACTCAATGCCACCACCATCCACTGTTGTGCACGTCGTAAGACTGAAGCCTTATGTGTCACCCAACACTCCCTTTTCGTGACAAGCGCTGGGTCGGCACTTTAGCGCCGCGGGGTAGTGCCACAAGGCAGTAGTGGGATTGGGGCATAAAGCGGTAGAGGGTCCCTGGCTGAAAGAAAAAGACTACGAAGTGGATAGAGACTGGTTCCAGCCCGCCAGTGCGCCAGGCATTGTCATCGCCTGTAATCGTAAATATCTGTAAATATACGTTTCCTTGTAAGAATATAAATAGCTTGCCGTTTGAACGTTCAAGAAGGTGCTCCTCGTGGCTCAGTTGCTAACGCGTGGCACTCACAATTCTGAGGTCGGACATTCGATTCCGCGCCACGGAGTCTCCTTCTGGATTATGTTTTTTTTCTTGCGTTTATATATATATATATATATATATATATATATATATATATATATATATATATGTATATATATATATATATATATATATATATATATATATATATATTCCAGCCGGCAGTGTCCATATAATTGTTGTCCTTGCAACAAAAAGGTGGACATTACGAACGTTGTTCCGTGCTATGAGCCCAACAAGAATTTCACTTTGTCCCTTGCGGCAAAATTATAAACGCATTCACAAATACAATTTATTACGTATTGTACATTCTACAATTAAGGGGTGCTGAACAGATGTTTCTTTTTTTCATATTCCTTTTTCGAAGCCTAATTTAACCCATCGACATTAGACGTGCTCTGCACGGGTGTACGTACAAAGAAACACTGGCATTAGTTACGCATGCTCACGACTGGTTAGTCATCTGACATTTAGTGTCTTTTGTACGAGCCCTAGCGGTTCAAACCCTCTCTGCAGAGCTTATAAGTAGCCACTGGGTCACCATAAAACGTATGAGGGAGTTGCATGTACGACTATAGCAATTTAACTACATCACTGTATGTAAACACTTCCAGCAATCATGACAAAAATATTCCTTACTAAAGACACTGGGACAGCGGAGGCGCGCGGTGTGAATATATGAAAACGCCCACTTGGAAAAGGGGAGCACCACCACATACTTGAACATCAGTGAAACATTTACGCTGGGGGGTGCATTCGGCCTACATTCGGCCTATTGCCAGTATGTCTGATGCCGCCCTCATTCAGCTTTTCACATGCTGAACATTTCATTGAGCTAGCCATGTCCCGATACCTCGTAATGTAACTGAGATTTTTATCACGCGTGTCAAACGCCTCGTCAGCTTTTGTCGTCTGCCTGTTTGTCATTTATGCGAATTACTCACTCACTGTTCTTCTTACTAATTGCAGATGGTACAACGTATGCCGTAGAGAACTTGCTGTACGAAAGTCCAGACGGACAGTGCGGTGTCGTCAAGTTTTCAAAGTACCCGAGCGGTAAGTACCTAGGCCAAACCACGCAAGAGCGCCTGCGTCAGTCAACAATCCTTTCTGAAAACATGAACTCGATTGGAACGCTGTCGAGCATTCTTGAAGGGATTCGCTTCCGAACAAGGCGGGATGCTGATGGTGTGGCTCATAGCAGCTGCCTCAAACCCTAAAACTATTCATGGGTGACAAAAAACGCGTGCCGTCATGCTCTACCATTATGAAGAAATTGCTAGCCTCTTTCGCTATCTCGGTCAAGTGTTATTATTCTAGTCAACTTCGTAATTCTCATTTTTTGACATCCTGCGCTATTGTACTGACGCCAAAATAACCGTGTTGAAGGTAATAAGCGATTGCTTTTTTCTCGGTGAACGCAATTCGTTGCATAAATACGCTCTGTTCCGCTTACTGCATTATGTGATGATCACGTTGCAAATTTCTTAAGAGTCATATACCGAATTAAACCTTGCACTTTCGTACGACAAAAAGGCGCTGAAGGTATGCAGCTCTCAGGACCACCACACGGTATGTGGAGTATATAAATGGCTTGGTATTAGCGCTCTTGTCGACGTGCGCCCCGTGGCCTAGTGGTTAGCGCCGCGCACTGCAGATTGAGAGGTCGCTTGTTCGATGCCCCGTGGCAGAGGCTTTCCTTCTCGTTTCGTTATTCACGATTTGTTGTATATTTCCCAACGTAATAACCGTGACGTAAACAAGTCAGTGGAGCTGTGGTGTACCCCGGCTTAAAACACTTTCGTGTTAAACTTAACACATGAAGGTGTCCTTTCCATCAAATGTTGTTCATTTACCTTTTCAGAGTTGAGGTTTGACCTCCGAGTGAAGAACTCTTCAATAGCAAAGCCACTTGATGCAGGGTGTTCCACGTTTTTCTCAGAAACATATTGTTACGTGAGTAACGAGACAAAGTATTGCGAATATATTCGAAAAATATATTTGCAAGAGCGGTTGCAGCACTGGCCAGTCTGGCTCCGAGCTCGAGCAGCCAGCGAGCCTCATCTTCCTCGTCGGGCGCACACGCGCATTCGCACTATGGTTTGTGGCAGCCTACAGGTAGCATAACCCCCGTCGGCAAAGGCGCCGTCTCGGCGCATCTAGATGTCAAGATCATTGGGCGAGTGGTACTGCTTCAGGCGTGCGACGTGTACGATGTCGGTGGCCCTAGGGGTGGATGAAGACGGCGAGGCAGCAGGAGTGATTTCATAAGTGACGGGAGTCACCTCACGAAGCACTCTGTAGGGCCCTGTGTACCGAGAGAGCAGCTTGTCAGACAGGCCAACGTGCCTGGTCGGAGACCACAGCAGAACCAACGAACCGGGCGAAAAGTGCACATCGCGGTGTCGTTGGTCGTACCGACGGCGTTGGTTTGCTTGGGAGGTCAGAAGGCGAGCACGAGCGGTTTCGCGTGCGTGGGCGGCCCGGCTGATGGCGTCCAGAGCATATTGTGAAGTTGGAGCTGCTGGTAACGGAATCGTCGTATCGAGGGGTAATGTGGGTTCGCGGCCGAACAGCAAGAAAAAAAGGGGAGTAACCAGCCGTGTCGTGGCGCGAAGAATTGTAGGCAAATGTCACGTATGGTAAAGCGATGTCCCAGTCAGAGTGATCTGAGGAAACGTACTTTGCAAGCATGTCAGTTAGGGTTCGGTTCAGGCGTTCTGTGAGGCCATTTGTTTGCGGATGGTACGACGTAGTGAGCTTGTGGCGTGTTGCACAAGAGCGTAGGATGTCCGCTATGACTTTCGATAGAAATGTGCGGCCTCGGTCCGTGAGCAGCTGGCGTGGAGCACCATGTTGCAAGATCACGTCGTGTAGAAGAAAATCGGCGACGTCAGTGGCGCAACTTGTTGGAAGGGCGCGTGTGATTGCGTAGCGTGTGGCGTAGTCTGTGGCCACAGCTATCCACCTGTTGCCAGCAGAAGACAGAGGAAAAGGGCCGAGTAAGTCCAAGCCGACGCGAAAAAAAGGTTCCGTAGAAATATCGAGTGGTTGAAGGCGCCCAGCCGGAAGCGTCGATGGTGTTTTGCGGCGCTGACATTCCTCACACGCCGCGACGTATCTTCTGACGGACCGTGCCAGACCTGGCCAATAGAAGCGACGGCGAATCCGGTCGTATGTGCGGGACACACCCAGGTGACCGGCAGTAGGAACGTCATGAAGTTCGTGGAGTACAGCCAAGCGGAGGTGTTTGGGTATGGCAAGCAGCAGAGATGGGCCGTCTGGATGGAAGTTATGCCGGTATAATGTGCCATTCTGGAGTACGAACGAGCGATAGGATCGGTTCGATGGGGAGGAGTCGAGGCGCTCAATGATAGCTCGTAGGGCTGCATCACGGCGTTGCTCGTCGGCTATGTGGTTCAGTTGAGAAACGGAGCACACGCAGGCGTCGTTGTCAGGTATGGTGGCCGATGGGTCAACTGGATAGCGAGAAAGGCAATCGGCGTCCTGGTGCAGGCGTCCAGACTTGTATATCACAGAAAAGGTGTATTCTTGCAGTCGCAGAGCCCAGCGACCAAGTCGACCTGTAGGATCTCTTAAGGATGAAAGCCAGCAGAGGGCGTGGTGGTCGGTGACGACGGAAAAGTGAGTGCCATATAAATATGGACGGAATTTTGAGACCGCCCAGACAAGAGCAAGGCATTCTCGCTCCGTGATCGAATAGTTACGCTCTGCAGGTGTAAGGAGGCGGCTAGCATACGCGATAACGCGGTCGTGTCCCTGTTGGCATTGGGCGAGAACGGCTCCGATACCGTGACCACTGGCATCAGTTCGGACCTCAGTTCGGGCAGATGGGTCAAAGTGGGCGAGGATAGGGGGCGTCGTCAAAAGTGTTATGAGGTGAGAGAAGGCGGCAGCTTGAGTGGACCCCCACGAAAATGGAACGCCTTTCTTCAAAAGATCGGTAAGTGGTTGGGCGATTGCCGCAAAATCTTTCACGAACCGCCTAAAGTAGGAGCAAAGTCCCACAAAGCTCCGGACATCTTTGGCGGATTGGGGTACTGGGAAACTCGTGACGGCACGAATTTTCTCAGGGTCCGGTCTCACACCAGAAGCATCGACAAGGTGGCCCAGCACGGTAATCTGTCGGCGGCCGAAGTGACACTTCGAGGAGTTCAACTGGAGGCCAGCTTTGCGGAAGACGTCGAGAATGGCCGACAGACGCTCAAGGTGGGTCTCAAACGTAGGTGCAAATACGAGGACGTCGTCTAGGTAACACAGGCATGTTGACCATTTGAACCCGTGTAGCAGAGAGTCCATCATACGTTCGAACGTGGCGGGGGCATTGCATAGACCGAAGGGCATAACCTTGAATTGGTATAGGCCATCTGGAGTGATGAAGGCGGTCTTTTCTTGGTCTTTCTCGTCTACGGCAATCTGCCAATAACCAGAACGAAGGTCGATGGATGAAAAGTAGCGTGCGCCGTGGAGACAATCGAGGGCGTCATCAATACGTGGTAAAGGATACACGTCCTTTTTGGTGATTCGATTTAGATGCCGGTAATCGATGCAAAAAACGCCATGTGTTGTCCTTCTTTTTAACCAGGACGACGGGTGACGCCCATGGGCTTGATGAGGGCTCAATAATGCCTTTAGTTAACATCTTATTCACTTCAGCTTGAATAATCTGGCGCTCCGACGCGGACACGCGATACGGTCGACGGTGAATGGGAGCAGCATCACCGGTGTTGATGCGGTGCTTTACAAGAGAAGTTTGGCCGAGTGGGCGGTCGTCAAGGTCGAAGATGTCACGGTAGGAAGCTAGAAGGCGTGCGAGAGCGGCTGATTGCGCTGGGGGAAGGTCAGGGTCGATCATGGGACGTATTGACATGTCGAGGCATGTGGCATCGAGTGGGCGACAAGGAAAATTGGGGCATGCGTCGGCTGCGAAAGTGGTGACGTGATCATCGGCTAAGGACCGCAACGTGGCAATTAGGATGCCTTCAGGGAGGACTTGCTTTGTGAAGCCGAAATTTATGACGGGTAGACGGGTCCGGTTGGAGGCTACAGTTACGATGCAGTGAGGGACGGTGACGTCACGTGCCAATAGGACATCAGGAATCGGCGTGACGATGTAATTCCCATCCAATACGGGTGAGGTCGTGGCAAATTCGGTGAATGTGAGGGCTTTAGGCGGTAAGGCGGAGGAAGTCTGTGGCAGAAAGGCCGTGTTGAGGTTCAGGGTGAATATCCGGCTGAAGAGGAAGGTCTAAGCAAAGAGTACCAGCGGAACAGTCGATGAGAGCAGAATGGGTCGACAGGAAGTCCATCCCTAAGATGAGGTCATGAGGACAGTTCTGGAGCACCGTGAATAGAACAGGGATGTAACGGTCGGCGATGCGTATGCGAGCCGTACACATGCCAATGACAGGAACAGTGCCGCCATCGGCCACACGTACAGCTTCGGTAGCAGGGGGCGTGAGTACTTTTCTTAAGCGGCGACAAAGATGAACGCTGATTATGGACACATGAGCGCCAGTATCGACTAGTGCCGACAGAGAAATACCGTCCACGTGTACATCGACAAGATTTTTGTTCGTATGAAGCGTCAATGGAGGGTTTGGTTCAGACAGGGATGATGCAGCACTACCTCCAGGGGCTGCACTGTCTAGTTTTCCGTCGGGTACGATGAAAAGTTAGGCGGCGAGTGATGGCGGCGTGGCTGGGGCGACGGGGAACGACGGCGTTGAGGGGACGGAGAACGAGCAGGAAGGCGGCTGTTAGACGTGTCGAAAGCAGGGGCGGTACGGCTGGACGAATACCGGCGAAGATCTTCATATGGGCTATAAGGTGCGAAAAACTGGCTCCTATGTGGCGGCGTCCAGGAGGCACGGCAGTAGCGGGAGACATGTCCAACGCGGTGGCACCGGAAGCAGATCGGTTTGTCGTCAGGAGTTCGCCATTCCGCCGGGTTGCGAGATCGTGGAGCAACAAATGGGTCACGTCGAGGTGCATTAGTGGGAATTGGTCTGGAGGAGGGGCAAGAGATGGGGCAAGCATCAGGGAACCCGCGGTTGGCGAATTCTTGTCGTACGACCGCCTGAATAACGGAGATCGCGGGGGTTGTCGGTATCGTATGTTCGAAAGAAGTGGGCTGAAGCGGCGCTGGACTTGCTGCTTCAAGTTCCCGTCGAACGATACGCGTTACACTCTGCTCAAAGGGCGGTGTGACGGTAGAATCGGAGCAGGTGGACGTAGCCGCCGTGTTTGGCAACCGAGAAAAAGGAGGGCGCACCCGACGGCTTTTTGCTGTTTCGAAACGGCGGCATTCTTTAATTACACGGTCGATGGTCGAGACGTTAGTGTACACCAGCAAATTGAAGGCGTCGTCCGCGATCCCCTTCAAAACGTGTCCAACCTTTTCAGCCTCAGACATCGCCTCGTCCACTTTTCGGCAAAGAGCGAGAACTTCTTGGATGTATGACACATACGATTCAGTTGGCGACTGGACACGGGTAGCCAGCTCCTGTCGTGCAGCTGCGTGGCGACCGGTCGGGTCCCCAAAGATGTCACGTAGCTTCTCCTTGAACGTGTCCCAGCTGGTGAGTTCGGACTCATTTGTCTCGTACCAGACACGCGGGGTTCCGTCCAAGTAGAAGAGAACATTAGCGAGCATCATGGTAGGGTCCCAACGGTGAGTTTGACTGACCCGTTCATAAAGGCGAAGCCATTTGTCGACGTCGAGGCCAGGTTGCGCAGAAAATGTCCCGGGATCACGTGGTGTTTGGACGGCGACAAAGGTTGTCGGAGAAGCCGCAGATGATGAAGCGGACGCGTTGTCACTGGAAGCCATGGCGGAAAGCTGGAGGATGCGGCCACTGCGGAGCTGCGTGGTGAGGACGGGGATCGTTCCACCTCCACCAAATATGTTACGTGAGTAACGAGACAAAGTATTGCGAATATATTCGAAAAATATATTTGCAAGAGCGGTTGCAGCACTGGCCAGTCTGGCTCCGAGCTCGAGCAGCCAGCGAGCCTCATCTTCCTCGTCGGGCGCACACGCGCATTCGCACTATGGTTTGTGGCAGCCTACAGGTAGCAATATAAATACCACCAAAGACGACATCACATAAGGAGCCTGACAGTGTATAATTTGTCATGCCAGGAAATACTCCAGCCGACGAAAAGTGGATGTTAGGGTGGTAATTTCTTACAAGTTTACGTTTTTTTATATAGCTACGCTGAAGAACTGGATCGCAATAAATCAGTTTGTAGTGATTGGTCACTGTTACACAATGTCTTCCTTTTGTCGTCGCCTCACCCACAGAATCCACCGTTATGATGTATTCTAATACAAAAAAGAAGCATTTTCTTTTTGCTGCGGCATTCCAGTGTCCGCGGCCCATTTTTTCGCTAAATATTTACGGGAAATAGGTCGCAGATCACGTGAAAATCAACCATAAGGCCAATTGGATAGCAGAAGCTTCAATTTATTGACCTTGCTGTTTTCTGCAGCGGCACTCAATACTTTATATGTGGAGATCACGAATATAGAAGTTTAGATATACTTATGTCGAAAATGCACAAAGTTTTATGGGCAAGATGTTGTCGAGAGTAAAACACTGCGTCATATTGAAAAGTATATTATGGTAAACTTCGCTATATCCAATTACGATCCAGTATTAGAATTTTCAAAGCACATCTGTGTTCTTCGCAGCACGAACAGAATAAAAAAAATATGAATAAACCATTACACCTTGTGAAGGCAGCAGACCAGGCAAGATGCGTGACATTCTTGACACGGTTGACACATAATTTCGATGAATGGCACATAAACACCCAGCATTTTCATGAAATGTACAGAATGTTCCTTGTGTGTTTCGCATACGCTCCTTAATTGTTTTCCATTTCACTAGCAAGCGTCTAATTTCCGCGTCGTCTTCTTTGAGTTGCCGCGTGCGCTTTGCCTTTATTGGAGTCCGCATATAGAAATTATGGCAGCTAAAGGAGCCCAGGCACTTGGGATGCTTCGTAGACTCAGCAATAAACGTTTTGGTTTACGTTGTGATGTGCTGGTCATGATATATTTTATGTATATTCGCCCGATATTGGAGTTTGGCTGTCTCTTGTTTTCTCGAGCCCCCACCTACAAAACTTGACCACTGGAACTACTAGAATGTGAAGCGTTACGAATATCTTTTGGGCTCCCTAAACTTGTCGCAATTAATATTTTATATAAGGAAGCGCGCCTGCCTTCTCTTCGCGCTAGGTTCTAAATACTAGCAGTCTGTATCTTCCTAAAAATATGCGCATCCCCACATAGAAGGTTGCAATATGTTTTCATTATTGAGCCGACGCCCTTTTTTAACCAACACTGGTCTAGATTACAGCGTCCACAAGTCATTGTCGTACAGAAGCTATTCAAGCAGTGAACACCTATTCAAACAGTGAAAATAGAATTTGACAATATATTTCCTAATACGCGCAAAACTCTTCCTAGTAGATACCTAAATGCCATTTTGAAAGGCCACCTGGTAAGATTAGGCATAAAAATTATAATAGCAACTGATGCTTCAGTTGGCGAAGAAAAGGCAGGAGTCAGAATTGCATGTTCAGCGTTGGACTGGTCTTTTCAATTCCTTTACCCAATTTTACACCTACTTATCAAGCGGAATCAGTTGCGATTCTCTTAGCGTTACGAAAATTAACTCAATCAATGACACATGCTATTATTATTTCAAACTGCTTGTCTGTTCAAGGTTCATTAACTGCGCCTAATATGTCCAATGCTTCAAAATTATTTTACGCCCTTGCCCCAAGACATTTACGTCTTATTCGTGTGGATACTAGGGCATAAAGGTTTATCCCTCAATGAATATGCAGATGCACCCGCATAGGCCTCACATAATTATTCTATAACTTCTATATTGCCGACGCTCGCATTTGTCGCTGTGGCACGCTTTGAACAGTTTGTCAAGTCAAATCAGTTTGAAAAATCTCGCTTGGCAACATAGGATTTTCCCCACCTTAAGTACCCCTGGAAAAATCGAAGGTGCCCCTCTAGAATGGCGGAGATATCAATTACGAGACTAAGATGCCGAGTCCCCCCCCCCCTTAACTTTTATCTACACAGGTCTGGTCTCGCACAGTCTCCCCTATGCCTCCACTGCAACGAGAGTGAATTCCTTCACCATTTCCTCTTGACATGCAGGTTATATACAAACCAAAGGAAGAGACGGTTAGAAGAACCTCTCCGTAGGTTGGCTCTAAAATTATTCCTTCCGATGGTGCTTTCCTTTGGACCAACTGAAAAGAATTTAGCCACAGAAACGTTTGCGAGGCCGTATGCGATTTTCTAAAGGCAACAAAACCATTAGAATGTTAAGCTGAGGCATATATTCACTTTATTTCAAACCATGTTAACTTATTCGTTCTTTGTATTACCTTTATTCATTTTATTTCTAATCTATTGTTTACCAATTGGTTCTTTGTTTAAACATCCTCATCTAAATAATCCGGCTGGTAAAACAACTCCATCTCACAAATGAGGCACCGTCCGTTTCATGGCCGATCCCCCATGGTGGGTTGCGCCAAGACTCTGATGCACAACTAACCAACCTTTCGTGCACCACCTTCAGGAGTATGTGCCTCTTGAACGCCTGACATGACACGACCAGATGTTTGTAGATTGCTGAGAATCGGTGATCTAGGGCAGCTGATCCCCCTCTCCGATATGAAGACGGTGGCTCTACTCACCATAGGACCAGAAAAGGAGCCCCGCCACAATATGGTAGGCCGTCTGAATGGAAAAAATGCCCTTTTTCGCCATGTTATCCGAAACGAATTGAGCATTTCGCTTCAGTAGTTTTTGTGGCGCATACTTTCGCGTATTGTGCGCCGCGTGACTAAATTCATTTGCATTTTTAGTGTACAAGAAGGGAGTAGTGTGTTCTAGTGTTTGCACAGCATTCGTTTGGCGGTCCAACACAGCTTTTTTTTTCGATTTTACAAGACCAGAGGTAGTGCAGAAGTTTGACTTGGTATTTCATTTGCATTTACCTGGTAGAGATTTTCTACTAAAGCAATCCTCAGACAAAATTTAGGTTTTTCCGATTCGTTGTTCTAAACAGAGACATACTTGTCTAGAACCCTAAAATAGTGTTGTTGCGCTTGAGATGTATTCAAGGTATCTTTACTACCACCAGTCTAATTAATACTTTCGGTTTTGCTATCGAGGGAGTCACTTCGAAGTGGCGTGTCAACACAACTCTGATGACACGTAAAGATGCGAATGCGAAAATACAAACACCAGCTCTAATAATGTGAGCTTGCATGCACTGGAGCCAAGAAGGCACAGGGGATGTTATTAGTTGTAATTCTAATGTAAATGTGAATTAACAAAAGGTATCTTTACTACCACCAGTCTAATTAATACTTTCGGTTTTGCTATCGAGGGAGTCACTTCGAAGTGGCGTGTCAACACAACTCTGATGACACGTAAGGATGCGAATGCGAAAATACAAACACCAGCTCTAATAATGTGAGCTTGCATGCACTGGAGCCAAGAAGGCACAGGGGATGTTATTAGTTGTAATTCTAATGTAAATGTGAATTAACAAAAGGGGACGCTTAGATAACTTGCCATTGGCAGGAGCCAAACTTGCAACTTTTAACAACGCGTCTGATGTTCAAGAATCTAAGCTATAGCAGCGGCCGCCCCCCCCCCCCCACCTTTTTATGGAGACTATATGTGCAGTGCTCAACTCGGCTGTCTGTAACGACAGAGCGTCGCGCGCACGAGCGACATCTGCAGTCGCAAATACGTCACATCTAAGCATGCGCGGCGCCAATGATGTGCCTGCCCTGCAGTTTCCACCCTTCTTTACCTCCGCGACCGCGATGGCTGCTTTGGCCATCGAAGCGCTGTCAACATAATAAAATCGAAATAAAACAACAACAAAAAATATTCTCACTTTGTGATATCATAACACAGCAACAATGGTTTTACTTAGCCTTTCTTTCTTTTTGTTCTTTCGCGATATAACTCCGAGCACTTTTGACGGCCAAAGCGGTTGTTGCCTCCGCGGCGATAAACAGGGATCAGTATTGCGAGACAGGCACATCACTACCACCGCGCATGCTCAGATGTCGCGTATTTGTGACTGCAGATGTCGCCTGTGCTGTTTCGCGCACGACGCTCTGTCGTTATAGACGGCCGAGTTGGGCACTGCACATTGACACATCGTTGTGTTAGCCGGCAGCGCCAATAGCCGTGACGGTATATGTGGAACACTCGTTTTCCGCCTGTTGGCGCCACGTTGAACACGATCTTGTTACGACCTGGCCGCTGACCATTAACCTCTTGCATTTCGATTGATACTAGCTTGTATTCTACCGGTCAGCTGCCAGCTCGTAGTAAGCTCACGTGCTACGTAACGCCAACTCGCAGAATAAAAGCGTTAGGCACCAGTCGTCACCACTACTAACCGCACTGATTAAATTTTTTATGTTGAAAAATACATGTAAGAAACGTGCACTTGAAGGCCCTGGGACTTCGTAATGTAGCCTCTTTCCCCCTCCGCTCCCATTTGTCCTCGGGCTCTTCTCCTTTGCAATCTCTTTTCTAACGTGGCGCCACCTACTTTGCTTCTGCGTAGCATACACCGATTCGAGGAGGGAGTGCTTCTTTGCAACGCAGCGCACAATGTTGAGCCACGACAGCTCTGTGTAGTGCCTTATGAGGTATACGATATGTGCTCAGCGTACTCGCAATTACTGTCAGTGGAAGCATCAGCTCGCGTTGACGCTGTCGATGCCGAACGGTGATGTCGCCAACGGCCAATTTTAACGTTTGGTGCGGCATCTTAGGCGTTCAACTTAGTAATTTGCCAGAGGGCGTACATCATTTATAGTTGACGCGTTCGAAGAGCTACGGCTGATTCCTTTAGTGGTTTGACCCCCCGACCACATGTCTTAAGCGCGGTTTGTAGACGTATCAGACTATATCACTGAAAGAACGAGCTTTCGATTGAAGACACTGGCGTGCCACCATAAGAGATTCCATTGCGACCGCTGCAGTCACGGACAGGAACCTTCGCATGAAACAGCACTCAAACCGTCTCGCGAAATGGTATGTATACGTGAGGTTCCTAAATAATGAACGCAACAACTGACTCGGTGCTTTGAAATGCGCTTTTATATGTACGAGCATGCAACAAAATTCAACGGAAAGTATTCCTTTTAGCGCGAGTTTTTCTACTCCATTTTTTTGGTATTCAAGACACCAGCATGAA